ATATATATAGCAGTATATATATATATATATATATATATATATATATATATATATATATATATATATATATATATATATATAAATACAATTTGAATTTCGCTTTTCGGAAACTATGTTATATTTTCATAAAAAGAGCAACATTGTGCGGATCACTACATCCTCCATCTCATCCTTTTCCACGTTTTTTTCTGCAGTAGAACCAACATAGCCTATCAGTATGGATGCAAGCGAAACAACTCAGCTGCTACGTCCGGAACTTAATGGCAATGGGTCGAAGGATCCTCTGGAGGCCCAGGCAAAGGAACTTGGTGTAACTCCCTTCCAGAAGGGCACAGCCGTCGCCGTGTGTCTCAACTATATTATTGGTGGGTCTTAGGGTAACCACAGGGCATGCACATGGTTAGCGCTCTATCAGCGGGGGCAACGGGGCGCGGGAGGGGGGGGGTATATGTAAGTCTCTCTCACACTACGATCACGTGGAGTGGTTAATATTTTTCCGGACGCGCATGTCTGGATACAAAGAATGTAAAACTCAAAAATATATCAAGGGGGTTTTTTGGTTAACCTTGGCGACTCTCCTGCTCCCTTTTGCCTTATCGCATATCGAGGCCCTCTCTTCATCGCATACGAACACTTTGTTATCCAATGTTAATCCGTCGCATACGGACAAGGACACTGTTATCCAATGTTAATCCGTCGCATACGGACATGGCCACTTTGTTATCCAATGTTAATGCTGCCTCGCGCTGGTCGCTTGTTTCAATTTGTTGCCTCTTCTGTTGTAGAATCTCACCCGTTGCACTTATACACACAGAGGGTGTCTGTTACACACTCCCACCGCAGGTCTCATATGCACAGGTCCTATCCAGGACTGTTCAGCCACACCCAACGATATATATATATATAACGTGCCGTATGCTTTGTATTGTGATTACTGTGATGACGTGTGTGCTTGTGTTCGTGGTGCTAGTGGCGTACTCCGTTTCAGGTGGTACAAACACAGTACATTCTGACTCGTTAGCTGTACGCCTATTTTGGGTGACCGTTTCCAATGGCGAAGACCAACTATAGTCGTCCTGGCAGCCTCACACATCCCCTTCGGCCCGTGCACGCAGATGGGTTGCCTCAATGTGTATTGTTTTATTGCTCGGTGTTCCACTGCAATAGCGGGAGTTAACTTAACCTTGTGATGTCTCCTGCATGATTGTAATAATTGATATTTAAGCCCACATGTACACGAAAATAGTTACAGTTTATCTTTCTGACTGTACGAACCAATGCCTCCCAGCCAGACGTGCACGGAGGTAATTAATACCCTCATATTTATCCATACCTGTAGGTACGGGATGTTTCGGGTTGCCCTACGCCTTCACCGCCACAGGCCTAGGGCTGACCAGCCTGCTGCTGCTCGTCGGGTCCGTCTGTGCGTTTATATCGCTCAACTACACACTGGAGATTGTGACACGCGGTGAAGGTGCCACATCGGCCGAGGAAGAGCGCAGCTCAGAGCCCGTCATGGAGATGAGCTACCGCAAGTTTGGGTTCACCACCCTGGCCTATAAGTTCTCAGGCTCGTATGTGATGTGTATATGTCCATTCTGTGCCACCCTGGCCTAAAAGTTCTCAGGCTCGTATGTGATGTGTATACGTCCATTCTGTGCCACCCTGGCCTATAAGTTCTCAGGCTCGTATGTGATATGTACATGCCCGTTCTGTGCCACCCTGGCCTATAAGTTCTCAGATTCGTATGTGGTATATAGATGTCCATTCTCTGCCACCCTGGCCTTTAAGTTTTGGGCTCGTATGTGATGTGTATATGTCCATTCTGTGCCACCCTGGCCTATAAGTTCTTGGACTCGTATGTGAGATGTACATATCCATTCTGTGCCACCCTAGCCTATAAGTTCTCAGGCTCGTATGTGATGTGTATATGTCCATTCTATGCCACCCTGGCCTATAAGTTCTCAGGCTCGTATGTAATGTGTATATGTCCATTCTCTGCCACCCTGGCCTATAAGTTCTTGGGCTCGTATGTAATGTGTATATGTCCATTCTATGTCACCCTGGCATATAAGTTCTCAGGCTCGTATGTGATGTGTATATGTCCATTCGGTGTGGGTTTGGGACCGCAGTCTGGCCCCTTGCTCCTCACCACGTGACCTGCCCTTATCTCCTATGCCATTGGGCTTCTGTTAGATACCAGAGACACGCTATGGCGAGTCATATTGTATCACATACTGCGGTTAATTAATTATTAATTAACATACTACTTGTTGTGGTGTGGTGCCTCTTCTTCGTGCGGTAGGATACGGGTGTGTCGCGTTGTTCCGACTGTATGCAAAGGATACGAAAAGAGGGCTTATGCACCACATGTATCTGCATCCCACACAACTCGATTGCGACGGATGATGCACACACACGACAAGAATCACCGTGTTGTGTCGCGCCACTGCTGCTTTGTGTATTATATTCATAT